GTTTGTTATTAACAATTATTTAAATAATTTTCAAATGACTTACCTCTCCAATTGCTTCCAACTCTTTCTTTTGTTTGCTTGCCAATTTCTTTTCAGTTTTCAGCGCTGTCTTCTCAGCACCTTTACCTTTCTTCTTGTCTTTACCTTTCTTACCCATCTTAAGCAAATTCTGTTAACAAGTTACGTTTAGTTAACAACAAATGATATTCAATCTTTGGTTATACAGAAAACATGCTTTGGCAACTAATGTTACCAACAATGAAATGCAAAAAAAAATCATTTGTTGTGTACGATTACCAATATTAGCAAATAAAATACCAGTCGATATTGGTGGTATGTATATTAAGTTGCCTACAACTAAACCCCGCTATAATAATTCATCGCAAAACTTTCAGACGTTCTCATTCGTTAATATGAAATTGTATTTGATTTAAAGTGTAACAACATGGCTGAGTTAAATGTAACATTTAAAATATAAATAATACAAAAGAATGCTCTAGGTGAGGCTCGAACTCACAACCCCGGCATGGCTCACGACTTACTGTCTTATAAGTACCGTGCGCTAACCAATTGCGCCACTAGAGCGATAAAGATAAATGATACAAACATTACATACCATTCAACATTACATAATTGCATTAAAATAAGTGAAAAAATATACTTTTAAGTTGTTATTGAACACACTTATTATTCTTACATGTTAATAAACGTGTTCTATTATATTTTTATAGCTATTATTGCATTCAATTGTCGTGTCCCAGGAATGGAATTCTGGACAGAGTGGAATACTATCTGGTGTTGTCGTTGTGGAGTCTCAGTTGAAGGAATTCAATAGGTTTTAAACAATACATTGTCTTGTATAAAACCTATTGAATTCCTTCTACTTTAAAAGATTGACTAAGACTTTATGCGTCTTTAAAGGTTTTACTGAGACTCCATTAGTCTTTGAAGGTTTTTCTGAGACTAATTCTAAATACTTATTCTAGTTATAAAGTAAATTCTTATTAATACGGGGTGGGAGTTGTGATCGGGAGTAGGGTTTGTATATATTGATGATTAACCGTTCCGACGGGATTCGGCCTCGGTGGTTTTGTTTATTATAACACCGGGACAAAATCCTATGCATCTGTTTATATGAAAAATATGATTGATTACGATTGAACGTGTAATGATCATTATGTGTTTATAATAATTACTTGAATCCGGAGTAAAGGTACAAGAGTATCGATGGGAATGTTTACGCTTGGTCTCCTTTGTTTATATTAAAATGTATCGAACTGGGATCACGGTAGAGATTCCTTTATGCTGATGTATATGTTTATATAATAATGCGACTAAGAGACGCCGTGGATGTCTCTAGTTCGTTAATACACTATATTAATAATAACAATTATAATAATAATGGTTGGACACAACACAATAATTATGGAAAAGAAATTACAAAATGCTACAAGTTTTAGTAAAAAATGGATTTCTGCATGGTATTACAGTAAAAAAAAACGATTTGCCATTTAGTTTAAAACAATTTCATTGCAAGTTTTCGGTTAAATTGAATATTTCAAAGCAACAACGTCTGGAATCTTAATCATTATTAAATTTTATTCAAAACTTTTTTTTCTAAACATTATGTTTTTTTTCTCTAAAATGTCATAGTCTCGGGATTTTTATGGTAGTCCGGATTTTGATATAGTCGGGATTTTGATTGTCAGAATTATGGTAGTCGGGATTTAGATATAGTCGAGATTTTGACATAGTCGGGATTTCAAGTGTCGGCATTTTAGTATAGTCGGGATTTTGATTTTCGGGATTATGGTTGTAGAGATTCTGATATAGTCTACAATAAAATTATTATGGTAGTCGGGATTTAGATATAGTCGAGATTTTTTGATTGTCGGGATTATGGTAGTGTAGGATTTAGATATATTCGGGATTTCGATACGTCGGGATTTTGATTGTCGGGATTATGGTAGTCGGGATTTCGATACACTCGGTATTTCGAACGTCGGGCTTTCAATAGACGGTCTTTCGGTTGTCACTATTATATAATAGTGTAAATATTTTATTTATTAGTGACAAACTAAAAATAAATACATTTATTACTTTAAAAGTGAATGAATAATAGATTCTGTTACTTTTTCTCATGTTACAAATATTATTAATTATATATTTATACTATTTACTAATTCAGCAATGTTATACAGTTTATTACAGATTGCTACTTTTGCTCCAAGAAGTGCACGTTACTTTAGGTAGATGGCGTCTATTATGTCTTCAGGCAATTATTCCTCCTATGCTCCACAAGTTGCGCAATATATTGATGATTCTAATAATATTGTAGATTATAGAAATATTAACATCTTTTAATCAGTGTTAATACAATTATTTCAATAAGTAAACGTGTTTTGGTTTGATTACAATGATAAACTGAAATTCATTTCCCCGGCGAATCCACCATTTTGATGTAATGTTCAAAAACTGATACAGTGAAACCTCGCTTAACGAGCCAAATGAATTGTACTAAAAATGACTCGTTTAACGAGCGACATTTCGCATAAAGAGTGACGATGAGAAAAGAATTCTCGGAGTGTGCGCTTTCTTCATTATTTTTAAAACTTGTGTACACATATTATGAGAATTTTTGAATATGTTTCACTATACGAGTGAAAATCCGGAAATTTTGGAACGGATTAAACTCGTTAAGCGAGGTTCTACTGTATATCGAAGTAAAGACTTCTGAGCGTTTTGTCTCATACATGGAGCTTTCCAAATGCAAATGGTTCCAAATGTTAAACTGAATAAGCAATTAAATAAGTGCTCGCATGCCGATCCAACTCGACGATTTCCATAATTTTATCAACATTTTCGACGATTGGCCTACCAGAAATGTCTCATTTTAGACGTCCATATTACCAGAAGGGAGCATTGGAACCAACGGTTTACTGTTGCATAAACAACAGAAGAATGTATCGAATTTTCTCTTTTTTACCTCCATTTTGGAACGCTCTAACACAAAACTGGATTCACTAAACATAAAACTGTCAAAAGAACTTTTTTAAAGCGTTATATCGCCTTTAAGTAGCATTATAGAATGATGATAAGATGCTCACTAAAGTCATGTAATGAAAAACGCTCAGAACTTTTAAATACCAATACTTTTTAAATACCAATATTTTAAGTAGTTGGTATCATTTCAAATCCACATTTTAAAGTATTTATCTATAAATATATGTTTACTTACTATATTGAACTAGAAATATTATTAAAATAATTACTATATTTTTCCTATAAAGTTGTTGTAATTAATTAGCAATATATTACAAAACGATTATAAAGGTATGAATATAGTAATATTAATTGGTGTATAAAATAATGGAATTACGGTT